AAAGTTTCGTTGGAACAAATTTACGGAAAATTAACTAACGAACGGAGACGTAACAATAACATAATGTTTTGGAAGAAATAGGACCTATTGGTCCATCCTCTAAACTAAACTAAAACTATTAATAATTATATTTTTTTAAATCTTAGAGCCGGCCATTATCATTCATATTCTCATCGAGCTTTCTTTAAATTCACTTAAATTTACTTCCTCCACAACATCCGAAAGCAACCATTCCAAAGGCTAACTACCCACTTGTGACATTAATCCAGTTTGACTGAGATCCATTTGTAACAACCCTCTGCTTTTTTCCATCTAGCCACTCTTCAATCCAATTTGATAACTTATCCCCCACAGCCATAGAGATAGTATTTTTACAAGCCTTTTATGTGGCACCTTGTCAAATGCTTTCTGAAAATCCAGATACACCAAATCTACATCATTTAAAGCTCCGTAATGTCAGTTTCGTTTTGTATTTTAGTGAACGCTCCTGACGAAGCTGTGAAGCGAAACGTCGAGTGTCTAATTAAATATATACAACAATTAGGTGTTATAAGATCGTTTATTTCTAGTATTAATATGTCTTCTATACACCAATATGCACTACAGAAATTAATTAATGAATTTACAATCTTTGTTCACAAGTGTGGAATTCTAATATGCTAAAATGTTATCTGTGTGCTATAAGAAGCATGGAAATTTTATTATCTGGGGTTATGCGAAAATACAATCAAACAACATTTGTTTTATACACAGATGAACTTCAGATAGCTTGGAGTTTAGTATGTTTACAAATCTTTGTAATGCTGCATTTATGTTTGTCGCATATTCTGATAACTGTAAATTCACTTGGTTTTATTCATTTGCGTAAAGTTAGAAATATATTTTCTTTGCTGTTTCGGGTTTTTAGATACATAGTTGTGTTCTGGACTGTTCTGGTTTGATTTGTTGTTAGAAAGTAACTATGTTTACTTTAGTTTAGAAGTGTTTAAACCCTGTGTGTGTGTGTGCTATTAAATTGTAACTAATTTTTATTTGAGGTCATAAGAAAAAATTAAACAATCATTATGCCGAAGAAAAACAAGAATGCAAAGAATCCGTTTTCTTTTTTTATGAAAGAACTTCAACAAGAAATGCAGATACAAGGTCAATTCATTCCTATGAGTGAGATGCCCAAAATTGCTCATCCAAAATGGGCGGTAAGTAATTTGTAATCCTGTATTGTAATTATACCTTTTTAGTTAATGTAAACTTTAATTTTCAGGTGTAAGGTGATTAGGCTTGTCTAGTTACACGCATAGTTACGAATGAATTAGACATACTTTTAATTTCAGTAGAGCAAAGATCACGCCCGATGTTTCAGGTAGCATGTCCTATTTTACATCGGCTGTCTGTTAATACACTTATAGTAATACTTCATACACTAGGTGATTTTCTGTGATTCGTAAATGAACATTATTAGAACCTAGGTTAATCAAAAAATTGTTGCTTCCTATCGTCTCCTAAGGATTCCAACTGCATAAAAATAAAATGTGTTGGCAATGGTGTCTTTACCCCAATTCCCAAAATTTCATCATAGAGTTATGTAAAATAATGTTGACAGGTGACATCTTCGAGCTGAAGCTTATGAATACTTAACTGCAGTTAGGTAAAGGTTGGTTAGTATTTTGTGTAGGACAGCTATCCATTAAAAAGCTGTACCATTTAGTTTACAGTCTACCAGTGCTTGAGTTTAATGTTAGGAATAAGTTGATTATTGTATTGTAGTGTTTTATGATGTAGTATTGGTAGTGTTACTGTTGTTTTTGCCACTCAGCATGTTAATGTCATTTTTCCAGTTTCATTGGATCCAGAAGTATTTTCTATTTGAAAACGCACAAACAAAACTTCAAACCCTTTAACCCTACCAAGATGGGTCTTTCTATGGTTATGGATCAAAGGCCATGTCATCACATTTGTAGAGTTACATTCAAAATTTTATTGAACTACCATTTTATGAGTGTATATCAATAAGTATGTTATGAAATTGTAGATTTTGATTCAAATTTTAGTATTATACAATAGTTAATTTCTAAATTTAAAAGTAAATATAAAAAAAAATCCTAAGTATCAATTTTTGTATGTCATGTGGTATGTTGAATGCACCAATGATTCAGATTAGATGTTTATGATGTCCAAGTACAAAATCTATAGTTAATTACAAATTAGGAACTCAAATTAACAATATTGACAAGCTAGAATATAAAATAAAACCACCTGCTTTTCTATTTGCTGAGATATTGCTATATTTAGTGAATCAAACACGGTAGCTTGCCCACCACTTTCCATTTTTGGAAATGCTTACTAACATCTGCTTCTGTCTATGACTTGTGAATAACCATTCAACAGCTCAGAATGTCTCGTTCTTTTCATGGTAGATTCCATGTGGTAAGGTAAGACATTATTGAGCTCAAAAAATATATTTTTTAGACTCAAATACAGCTTGGCTACTAATCCTGATAAATTATAGTGGAATTCTGTTGTATTTATATAGTAATTTATGATTTTTTGTTATTTCAAAATGTATATATATAAAACCCAGAGAAATATTTTGTTTTACATTCCCCAATGTGACATTTGGTAAGACTTAGCAAATTACTGCAAGCAGCAAATGAGTATAACATTTGTAAGTGGAAGAGATAATTCTTTTCTATACTTCTTTATTTACTGTTCTATGTTTCAAGAAAAATAACTTAAATTCAAGAAGTTATTTTAAATAGTAATAATGTATATACATGTATAATGTATTATAACTGAAATGTGAATATATTTTACCAAATACTGGTCAACTAGAACACAGCCAAGACAGATCACTTTGTAAAGGCAAATTCATTCAACTGCATCATTCAACTTATGTAATATTAGTCAGACACTGTTGAAAGGTCAATATAATAAAACAATAAATTTTTATGTATGTAAAATGTTATGAGATTTAAACTATTTAGACAAAACATTTGTGTTTTTGTGTTATAATTTGTAGTAATTTTAGAAAGAAAAAACGTAACTTATATCTATTTCCTATTTTTTATGGTTGTTATGAGGTCGGTAGAATCGACTGAACCCATATGAAGGTACAATAGTAAAAATAACAGATAAAATATAAAGCTTTTTCTAAAAAAATATTTGATAATTATTTGGAGGATATTAGAAGATTATGAAGGTTTCACATGTGAAATGTGACAATTTTCTGATGCATAAAAGTATTTTTAATCTTAAAATCAAAATTAATTCACATGTTGGATAGTTAATGTTCTAAAATAAAAAATGACACAAGTAAATAATGAATTTAAAATGTTAAAACTCAGTTTAAAAATCTCATACTTTGTGCACGAATGGCTTGTAATGTTTACCAATAATCTGCAGAATTTCATGAAGATGTGTGTACATTTTAAAAAGTTACAGTATAGCTGCTTTATGGTTACTTTTCAGAATATGGGCTGGGTGTAATATGGGTGGTTTGTGTTACATAATGCATAAACATGTATATACATGTCTGCCCAAATACAGCCAACAAAATATCAGAAAATGAAAACTTGGAAATTAAACACACGATATGTTGGCTAGGCAACAGTTACTTTAAAACCAATGAAATACATCTCTCCTTTACTTTCATAGGTACATATGCAAGTTCTTACTTCATTTTTAATATTTTATTGTTGACAATTTTCATTTCTTTAACAGTACAATATGAATTCACACTTATGGGTTTTCAGTAGCAGTATTTTATTAGGATTACATTATATCTTCCTTTGTCATGGTTTTCACACAGTGTTTCAGATTACCAGGTAAAGCAATAATTTTGTTTCAATCACTGACAATTTGGTGTGAAAGGTCAATTTACAGGTACAGTTAATTGTTTTTCATTAATTATTCAATACATGAATGAAATTGCAGCATAAATCTACTAATTTCTGACTGTGGAATTGAATGGTTTGTAAATTTTTATGGTATTTTCACTATTTAAAAATCTACAAAACCCTCCTATTTTATGATCCATATGGATCTTTGTAGATTGAGATATGCTTTGTTTGTTTCTATACATTATCTAATCTAATGATACATTGTTTCAATAATGAAAACAACATTTTAGGACAACATCACTAAATTAAACTGTTAAAAAAAAAACAAAGCCAGCCCTTATCCACAGGACATGTATCATGGAAGTATCTTTTCCAGAAGCATCCTCAAGTCTCCATACCAGCTAGTACTAAGGTATAAAATTCATAAGGTATAAGCATAATATTCAATTATTTGTACAAAATTGTATTGTTTAATGAAGTTTAAGTGAAATTTATTTTAAAAAATCCCAAAATATGTTTGAGACAATAAATAAGCACCCTCTAAGAAGAAAATTAAAAAAAAATGTTTCCTTCCACTTCTGTGTTGGTCCTACCATCTGTGATTGGTATTTAAACCTTTTTCTAGTCTGTTTGCTTTATAAAACAGCATCTGGGTGTGTTAAACCTCAGTTGTAAAACTTTTAGCCAATCCTAGTCAAAGGTGTCAATTTCAGTACCATGTTATTCCAGTCGCTGTATTTAACGTTTGACAA